ACCCGTACTCTCTAAATACCCCAGGACACAATTCATCCAACTATGTGTGAAAAATACCTCCAAAATTGCAAATTTGACTGAAGGGATAGGAACTCTGCGTTCTACACTACCGGGATCTTTCAAGGCAATTTGCAAGCGTGATACTTTCTTTATCGCTTCCGCGTTCATAACACGATCTCGAGTTCACGACATTCTCCAAAAGATTTGGCTCACCAAAGCACACCCAAATAAAATTACTCCGATAAATCTTTGATTCTATCACCTACAGCTGGTTTGCAGAATGAAAACGACGTCACAGAAGGGAATCACACTCGAAGATTTTCTGAATAAACACGGACCATTTCCTGTGGAAGAGCATATCGCGGCAGGAATCATACGAAGTAATTCAAGGCAGCTGAACACGGAGCGGTTTTGATGACGTATGGGTGCTACTAGTTGAGAGAAGCGGCTCCATCCACACCTTGGTGCGCTGAAGGGTCCGGTCCACTAATGATGTCCAACGAAGTCATCAAAACCGCTCCTGCTCAGCTATAGTTCACTGCGCTCATGGCATTACACGGCAACTTGCAATACGGAATTAAGCGCTTATTCAGGTGTGAGCTCAGCAATCATGTTCTTGCACTGCAGAGAAGTAGTACATGGCTGTTTGGACTTCACGTCTGTTGTCCTTGACAGATACCTGAACGCAAAAACCATTGTGTCGTCGTCAGTCCACAGAGTGAAGTCGTCTAAAGCCACCGGGTACCGGATACTACAACAGCTTAGCGATTTTTCAAGATATTTCTGAAAACATGATCCATTTCTAGGGTGAGAAGCAAGGTGGACGATGTGTTTCATGTTGGGCTTCTGCTATATCGTCTGCTCACTGGGCAGAAGGCTAGATTTGGAACGGTAGGTCAAAGATTTCAGCAACGGAATGGATCTATTTATTTTGATGTCACGCCATGCAATCACCTCCCATCAGAATTTGTATCGGCGTACAAATGCGCTCAATTTTTTATACAGTAATCGAGAGTGTCTTGTGACAAGCGCAAAGAAGAGCGCTCACTGAAAGGAATGTTGCCGAACTTAGCCGCAGGTTTAAGGTTAGACCCTTGACACTCGAGCCAGAGTCGCCTTTCTTTGATTGTTCAACTAGAAGCTCAACTTCCATGGTTCATGTGTCTTTAAAGACCATTCTTATTCAAAGCAACAACCCCTGAGTCCATGCAATTGCCACTAATCCAGCGAAAAGATGCATGGACCTAAGTCGAGATGAGATGAAGTATTGGATATTGCTAGTATCCTATCTGCACCATGGTGCAGCTTACTTACTGACGCGAGTACGACCACCGTGGCCCAGGCCTTGATAGAGACGACCCCTGTTACGCGGGATTTCTCGGACGAGATATCACCTGCGGGCATCGACGATCCCCAATTCAAGTAAACTGCGGGGCAGATCTCAAAACTGGTTGATCAACCCAGAATTACATACTCCTACTACTTTATTGTTCTGAGCATAATTTAGAATGGCGAGCTACTGACCAAGCCCAGTCCTTATATGCGTATATCGGAAAAAGGAATGAAATTGGTCGAATTCATGTTCGCAACGAATCTGAGGTAAGGAGCTTCTGCAAACCTGTGTATCATCAACAAGTGTTAATGCCACAGGTTCCCTCCAACAATTGGACGTGTTCGCTACAGTGAATGGCTAGAGGAATGTGAAGAAAATCCACCGGTGTTTGTCTTGTTTCCTAATTGATGTTACTAACAAATTGAGCCGACAAATGAAGTCTCTTGTAATTGCTGATTAAAATAGCACAAGTAAATCAAACGTTTTTTGCCTGGTTTCCATTGAAGTTGTAAAGCAGATTCGGTTCTTTCAAGCTACGATAGATTCGGCGACCAGAGCGGATATGAAAAGGTATGCATCTTCGTGGGCTGGGTCGAGTCCGCAGTACGTGGTCAACTTTCGTCCTTGTCGGATCGAAGCAGAGTCAGGACTATAATATTTAATTTATTCGACAATTGAAGTTCGTGCGAGTTCGAATTGTGTCAACGACCGGACTAACTTTGATTATCTAAGGAGCGACCTCAAACGAAATGAAGGTTCTGCTACCCGAAATTGAATTCAATCCTTGGTCGCATAGGCCTTACAGACACATCCTCCATTTCCGCCCAGTGCAATCCCATCGACGAGTATGGCGAGTCGGTCAGTATATACTGAAGTAGCACAGCTTTGGCGGTTCAAAAAGTGCACGAAAGGGCCTAATTCGTAAGTATACACCTCTATTGTAATCGTCGCCTCCCGCAGTCAGCCACAAACCTGGCAGCGCCTGATTACCGCTAATTGGCCACCGTTTTCGGTGTTTAGAGGGCCGTTTAGCCTTGTCCAAACCACAAGTGAGCTTCGAAAAAGCCATCAGTTGCAAGCATGGTGCCAGCAACAAGAAAACTCGTCCGCATATGCTCGACACCATTCTTGTTGAACTAGGGAAGAGGAGACTCTCATTTTAGACTTTATTAGCGACTTTTGTTACTTTTTCTCATCACTTGCGGACTAGTTAACTCTAACAACTTCATAAGTTCCACTGCCTCCTTCTGTTATGGCTGTGTGCCTTTAGGTTATCACTCAGCCACCTTTGTCCCTATGCCCATTGATGGAACAACTGATCCCATGATTAGAAAATTGAATGCAGGGACAAAAGGAGAGAGCAAGATTTCGAACAATTCAGAAAGATAACAGAATCATAATAAAGTTTTATCAAGATCATCAAACGTTGATTCTGGGATCATCGAAGGTCGAAGCCCTTTGTATACCCGAATGAGAGCTTTTTTCACTTCTTCGACTTCACCCAATTTTGCTGACACAGGAAGGACATAGTCAAATATCAGTGGTATAGCGGGGCGGTACTGTTCGGGAACATGCCGAGGCCAGTCCATGCCGGACATTTTCTCCACCAGTTTTTCAGGTACCTGAATGGATCGAATCACGCAGAAGAACAAGTACGTAATCATAGATAATTTTGCTTACCCCCTCTGGAGCAATATCAATTTTGTTGAAGAGAAGAACTGCTGGTTTTTGAACCAACTTTCTGTCGTAGTTTTCGAGTTCACGATTCAGAAGGGCGACTACCTCGATTGGAGATCTGAATATAAGAAAAGATTTTTGAAATATTTTCTCATGGACACGATGGCTGCAGTGCGGTACGGTTTCGATGAGTCATTGAATGCCCGGGCACCGACCATCATTGCCTCGGAGGATGGGAAGGGACCATTCAGTCATCCGCCTAATATAGGATACACAACCATCGCCTCCTCTTCAGCCATCATGCTCACTTCTTCAAGTTCATTAAAGCCACAGAATTCTACAATAAAGAATAACAATGAATCAAATGTCCGGGTCGACCTATTTTAGGGCGCTTTCCATCCAGATAGGGATTCAAATCGGAAAAAGTGACATCAAAATATCAAAAAAAGGTATCCTGCCACCAAGCGGGATAAAAGTTGAAGAAGAGATGGTGAAGAAATTGAGGGGGACCAAGCATCCAACGTTAGTAGACTACCCTTCGGAACACATCAGTCGGTTTCCCACAAAGTGCTGATTTGATAATGTGACCATACTATGAGATAAATGTTCTTTCACCTTTCAGAATAATGTGTACTGAATAAATTACCGAGGTCGCGAGGGAGCTTATCTTGGCAGAGGGCCGGTATTCATCAATATGTGATCCCGAGATCGTGGGCGGTAACAGCAGCATCTCTGCCACGACTTACCCTCTCACCTTTTGCAGAAAATCAGTCTAATCTTAAGTGGTCAATTGACTTAAAACATCCGGCGCGGCTACGCTGAGGGAACGGCAAGACCTCAATAGAATTGCCAGACCAGCTTTGCATAACGCATCTTACCAAAATCATTAAATAATCTTGCTAAAAAAGTAGGCACACTAGAAAATTCGGCCGCTCATTACCTGAAAGGTTCATTTAGTTTGTTGGATAGTTGGAATCCCATACAATCCACAATCAGTAACAAAATATCAGAGTATTCCAGGTGTTTCAGAAATTTATATCCTTTTCCGCGATTTTGAGATGCGCCTTCAATCAATCCTGAACAAAATAGTATAAGATTAGAATAAGACCGCAAAACTATTCGACTACAGCTTTTCACCCTTTTTCATTTCCTGAAACAGTTGTCAGACTTTGCGGTTGTCGCGCCATTCGCAAGCAAGGTCAACCACCCGCTTGGTACGAGCAATAACGAGGGGAGCCATATCTGTAGTTTTGGGAGAGGGAGGTCGCATTTAAGGACGGCTAAGTTCGATAGTCAAAAGGAGAATGGTATATTTGGAAGTTGAAGGGGTCAAAGACAAGGTGGAGAAACGGTCGAGGACTTGTCGACGACTCGTCGAGGTCGCCTGTCAGTCACGTCCCCGCGCGGATATTCACTCTCGCCACCGCGAGCCGTCTGTGCTCTCCGCGCGTACATTCACTCTCGACACTATTCTCACACAGTAGAGAGCCATGGTCGAGGAATTCCTCGACCGTTATTCACCCTGGTCGGGCGGGGGCGTTTGAACGTTTTTTGGAAAATTTTCAAAAATTAGACATGAAATGTTCAAAGGTAGAAGGCTTGCCATTTCTTCTAGACATATTTCCTCCCGCGCTCGACAGCCCTTTGAGGAAAAAGTGGCGAAGTTGGGCTATGTCGATGGTCTCAGAATCAAACTATATGTAAAATTAGCCATAATGGTGAGGGTGAGGGACGATAGTATGGGGAATCCCCAAGGATGATGGAGTTGGAGAGGTTGTCTCAAACCCCCGTAACTTTTCTGAAAAGTACCAACGCCAGGGGATCGCATGGGCCATGGCATAGCTATCAGTCGGTCCGACTGAGACAGTTACAACATGCTCCCAAAGAAAACCACGACACTGCACCCCGCGACTGCTGATCGTATTGCTTGCGTTGCGACGCAGGCGACACCTGCGAATCGCATGACGGTCGCAAAGTCTGAATCCGTCTAACTCCAAAAAATTTCACACTATGTCAGAAACTTCACGACCATATATTTACCAGGGAGATCAGCAAAAGACAATGTGAAGTCGCTCTCTACTTCTTTTTTCCCCTTGTCCACGGTCCAGAATGCCACTTGTGGTTTGGTCTGAAACAGTATAAAATGAATGGAAAGAATCTCTCATTCACCATTAATCAGTCTTTTTTCCACGGGCCATGTGATCGACTCTTATTCACAGTGATATTTGATGACTATTGACCTAAGAAAGGGGAGGGGGGGGGGGGCCTACGTAAGCTCCAAATGTGAAGAGAACGTACTGGATCAAGCAATAACGACTGGCTGAGTGGTTGTCTCGAAACTGCTGTTCTTGCCTGGTCAGAAGACTCTCTTCACAGTTGGATCTACATAGAGCGGCAAAACTTCTGCGAAGTGGCCATGAGCAATATTTGGCCATATATGTACATTCAAGGTGACATCGAACCTTGACATGTGGCCTTCCGCCGTGTCTTTTTATGGTTCGAGCAACCATGCTCCCAAACTACAAGTCTCCCACATTCTCAACATGATATTATAGATGGATAAATCTACTTACTGGACACCTACATCAAACGTCACAAAGACCCGCCCCCCCCCCCCCCCGACTCATAGGCGATGTCCATGATTTTCGGGCTTGATATTTTGTGCCGATATACATTGCATTATACCACCTTGCTCTTCATAAGCCTAATGGTACACTTCATGCTGACCCCGAGCGTATGAGCGTAGCCAATCGAAACACTGCGCTTTCCCTAATAACCAGCTCCTCCTCTTTCCAGGAGCAAGGAGGGGGGGCAGCGATCTGTCTGTGTCTGTCGAGACGCTTAGCGTTGAATGTAGCCCAAAGTATGTAAAAAATAATACAAAACGTACCGTTGTGAAGGGATAGGGAGCGATTTTGATGCTTTTCCGTGGCACAAACGCTTTCATCAACGTCGATTTGCCAGCATTTGGAAATCCAACGAGTCCCACATTGGGACGGAGTTTCAAGTGAAGAGAGACATTCAACTGTTCACCTCTTTCGCCCCTGAAATTTCTAATAGTTTAGGTAACCAAGCAGCTTTGACTTCACAGTGCTTGTTATACAACATCTGTTAGCCACTGCATTCACAAACATCAACTAACTTGAAATTATTCCTTGCATCTCCACCGCAGCCACCTCTCGCTATTAGGTACGTGTGAAATGGCTTAGTACATCGCGCAAGCAACACATTTCGGTCCTCGTCGACTGCTTCAACTCCGACAGGAACGTCCAAAAACTGCAACCCGTCCGATGAAAAAACATTGGAATAAAAACAATTTTGGCGCTTTAATTTATTTTTTTACTTACCAGGCAATCACCACACTGAGAAATCATGGATAAATGGACCCACGAGATTGATTGAGTCAAAAATAAATTTAGTGAGAGGGTTGGGGAAAAAAGCTTGAATTTAGTGAGAGGGATGGGGAAAAAATAAGCTAAGTGCTGATCCAATACACGTGAATCCGTTACCGAATGATAAGCGAAAAAAGAAGGGCCAAGGGCACACATGCAAAGTTGCTAAAAGCCCTGAAGATAATCCTACTGCCGAGGCCGCAACGCAACAGGGGCGGGTGCAGGAGGCACCTCTTTGATCTAAACACGAACCCCAGGCGCTGGCTCGGGGGTACTTACGAAGGCAGTTAACTAAGTTTGCGTGCTGCGTTTGGCATGGGGATAAATGGATAAATGTCGCCTGAAGCGGTGCAGTAGGGTTGGCAGTCTTATTTGTACGTTTTACTCCGCAGTACTTCTTTACTGCAGAATAGAATGCAAATAAAACAGAAAATATTCTTCGTATAGTCCGTTCCTATGTCCTTCTTCCTTCAGAGTGTGCGAAAGTAAACTGGCTTGTATTCTCTTTCTATACACCTTTTCCAGACTCTTTAGTCACTTTCGTGTGCCTGCACCTAAAACAGGATCAAAAACCTGCCAAACCAATTTTGTGGCCATCAGTTTTCCTTACTTGAGAAATCCGCTTCAAATACTTGCATGCGTTTATGGCTTTCGATTAGCGACTGTCTGGTCGTTTGATATTTGAGAACGATTATCAGCTAGTCTTCCAGTCTCAGTTTTTTAAGTGACACGGAAAATATTTTTTGATATTTTCGTGGGCCAAAAACCCCATTTCAAACAAGACTATAACACGAAAAAGTGGAACATAAACGCGGCTACATTCCGCACATATCCGATGGAAACCTATCTGCGCTTAGTCGGAAAACAAACTCAGTACTCACGATGATATGTAAATTGGTCATCCGGCTTTGCAAATAAGCTGTCTAATGCATGCGCAAATTCTTGGCGCTAAATCTCAAATCGTTTTGATTATATATATAGCTAAATATACGTATAAGTATATATATGTTAATAATTATATCTCTAACTCAAAAATTTAACCAGTTTGCAAATATCCTACTTACTATAAAGCGCTTCGTCTGTCGTTCTGTCCCTCTGTCCCTCTGTCTGTCGTTCTGTCCCTCTGTCGTTCTGTATGTCTGTCACGAAATTCCCTAGCTCCTCGGGATCCGCCTGGAGGGACCGGGTCAAGTGTGGGACGGGTGGGCAAGGTCCACGAAGTACAAACACACATCAGCTAAGCGGAGCCCCGCCCACAGTGGGCGTGGCGTGCGTCGACATGAAGTGTACTGACGACCGAGATTTTAAGATCTCTTAGAAAACGACCTTGAAACTGGGCCAAAAAGTGGGTAAAGGTGTGCATTGGTAAGTAACATCGAATTAGGGAGACCCACCCCCGGTGGGCGGGGCGTTCTCTAAAAAAGCAGTGCTTTATGAAAAATTTCATAACTCGGTTGGGAGAAAGCCTACAGAGCAGAAAACAATTGGTGTGTAAGGCAATGTCTAAGGTGTTTCCTGCATACATGACGTGGGCGGAGGCCCGCCCAGAATGGGCGGGGCGCGCTCTGAAGTGTACAGCATTTTCTACAAGCCCTCATAATTCGGGTCGGGGAAGTCCTTAAAGAGCCGGAAAAAGGTGGATAGAGGTGTATGGAGGAGTGGAGGCCAGCTATCAATGGTGGGCGGGGCTTGACCAAAGTGGGCGGAGTTTGCGACGAAAATTTATAACTCGGCTCCATGAAGCTCCGGAGGCTGGGGAAAAGGTGGATAGAGGTGGGTGGAGGAGTGGAGGTTAATTGTCATTGGTGGGCGGGGCCTGACCAAAGTGGGCGGAGTTTGCGACGAAAATTTATAACTCGGCTCCATGAAGCTCCGGAGGCTGGGGAAAAGGTGGATAGAGGTGGGTGGAGGAGTGGAGGTTAATTGTCATTGGTGGGCGGGGCCTGACCAAAGTGGGCGGAGTTTGCGACGAAAATTATAACTCGGCTCCAAAGCCCGGAGGCTGGGGAAAAGGTGGATGGAGGTGGGTGGAGGAGTGGAGGCCAGCTGTCATTGGTGGGCGGGCTTGACCAAAGTGGGCGGAGTTTGCGACGAAAATTCATAACTCGGCTTCCAGAAGGTCCCGGAGAGTGGGGAAAAAAGAAGATATAGTTGGGTGGGAAAGTGGAGGTCAAAGGCCAGTGGTAGGCGGGGCTTGGCCAAAGTGGGCGGAGTTTGCGACGAAAATTCATGACTTGGCTCCAAGAAGTCCCTGAGGCCGCGGAAAAGGTGGATGGAGGTGGGTGGAGGAGTGGAGGCCAGCTGTCAATGGTGGGAGGGACATGACCAAAGTGGGCGGAGTTTGCGACGAAAATTCATAACTCGGCCCCAAGAAGTCCAGGAGGCTGGGAAAAAGGGAGTAGAGGTCGGCGAAGGAAAGGAGGTCAAATGCTATTAGTGGGTAGAGCACGCACCCAAGTGGGCGGAGTTTGCCAAAAGTATCGCAATTCGGTTGCAAGAGGTCCTAGAGATAGGGGAAAACGGGGTTAGAGGTTGGTGAGGGAAAAGAGCTCAACTGCTATCACTGGGTAGAGCACGCACCTAAGTGGGCGGAGTTTGCCAAAAGTGTCGTAATTTGGTTCCAAGAGGTCCCAGAGACCGGTGAAAAAGGGGGTAGAGGTCGGCGAAAAGAAGGGAGCCAAATGCTATTGGTCGGCAGGGCACGCACCGAAGTAGACGGAGTTCGCCACGAGATTTATTGTCCGGGCCGAGGACCGAGAAAAATAGGATAATGGTTGACGAAGAAAGAGCGCATAGAATTTAGCGGAGAATTCAGATATTCGTATTGTATCAAGCCAAATTTGAAATTTTTCGTCGCACCATCAAAATTCGCCACAGATCTGTGTTGCGCGCGCAATGCGTGCGGCGCCAACTGGTATATATATATTCGCGGAACGGTTTCCTGAACGAAGTTACAAGGGTTTTTCTCACTGTGACACCTCCTCGATTCGCATAAGAGGAGCCGGAGAGGAGCTACGGAAGCAGGTC